TGCTTGGTGCCCAGACAGTGGCCTGCACCAATGCCCTGGTAGGTGCCATCACACAAGCTACAGCAGCACCCACCCCCTCCAGATTCCATCCCTTTCCTTGAGGGCATCCTCTGTGTCCGTAGCTTCTGCCCCCTCCCTGCTGCTCTTCTTACGGCCTGGGATCTCAAGGTCACAGTCCAGGGTAGGCCAGGGGCAATGTCTCTGCCTTCTGTTTAGAGGACCTAGGGGACACCTGGAGCATTTATCTTCATCCGCTTGGGGCAGCAAGGGCATAGTGGGCCTTAGCCCGGTGTGGCTGCTCAGGAAGGGTGGGGTAGGAGCCCAGCTTACCTGGCCCACTCACTGCCCTCGCTTCCTGGCCCAGTGCTGTCCTAGCTGCATGTTCTAGAGATAGTGCTCCCTCCTCGACTCCCCCAGTAATGAAGGCAAGAGATAGGAGCACCCACAGGTCTCCCTCCATGTCATCCCCCACCCTAGCAGGGTGCCGGCTGCATTTTCCCAGTCTCCTCTTGAGGCCCTGAGCATATGGCCCTCACCCTTGCTTCTGTCCCCACCTGCCTTGGCCCAGTGGGCAAGGAGGTTGGGCGGCAGCCATCTTTCCAGGACCCCTTGGAAGGGCAGGGGGAGTGAGTGGGTGGCAATCTGGTGACTGAAGGTGGTCTCTGGAGTTCTCTCCAAAAGATGATCTCACTGATGCTTCCGACACACCTAAAGCTTTGAAAAATACACATGGTGCAGGCCAGTCTTGGGCCTGAGCCCGACCGGCAGGATCTACAGAGATTGTGGGCTGTCAGAGGTCAAGATAGGAAGTGATGCTCTGGGATAACACAGGGACAGGGAGGCTGGCAGCCTGTGGCCAGCCTGGAGGCCAGGCTGGGTTCGGGAGTGGGCCACCTGATGCCCGTGCTTTGCAGGTGCCAGCTCTGACATCTGGCTTTGTGTCTGCGTGCTGTTTGTCCACAAATTAAGGACACTGAGGAATTTTCCCAGGGAGGGTATCAGAGGGGCAAAGAACTCCTTCTGCATGTGGGCAGAACAAGGTAGAAGCTGAGCGGGGCCAGCCCGGGCTCACATGCCACTGCCGGGTGCTCTGGGGCAGGTCTTGTAACCTCTCCGTGCCTCACTTTCCCCATCTGTTAAATGGGGGTAACAGCCCCTGGCTCACAGGGTGGTATGAAGCGTAGGTGAGGTCAACAAGTGAGAGGCACCCAGTAGACACTCAGTCCATGATAACATTGCTGGCGTTGGAATGCAGAAGCCAGCTTCGGTTTGGACTGAGGGTGGGTAGTTGAGTTTGAAGTCGGGCCCGATGAAATGATCCTGAGAGATCCTTGAGCTGGAGGCCAGTGAACCCCTTGCATGGACTGAGCAGAGCCTGGGTGGGTGCAGGGAGACCCACAGAAGCTTCTGGTGGCCTGGGCTGCAGTTAAGTATCATTTTAGGGAGTGGAGGGATGGTGAATGTTGGGAAGGTGGGAAGGGCCTGCTGGGAATCAGGGTGGATGTACAGAATCCTCACTACTCCCACCCAGCTGAGCTCAGCAGCTGGACATCGGCTGTGGCATCTTTGGGCTGGTCCCTTCCTCACCTGGGACTTATCTCCAGCCAGACCATCTGAAGCCCTGAGGCCTCCTGCTCACCAACCCCCACCCCACCGCGCCCCTCCCAGAGTTGCTCTATCTGTCCTGGCCTCCTGAAGCCCAAGCCCAGTAACTTCAGTCACCTGAAGGCGTGGAAAGAACCCTGGACGTGGACCCAGAGGACCTTTGATCTCAGAGGAATCACCAGGCCTCGGTTCCCTTGGCTGTAAAATGGGATGATTCCTGCCTCTGTGAGTCACTTGAAGATTAGATAATAAATATTATAAAGGATTTTGCAGATTGCAAATTTACAAATGCCCACAATTAAGGTATTATTATTTGGATTCTAAAACCCCCTTTCCTCCCTAACGCGTGTGTTTCCCACATCTGCTTCTCTCCCCAGTCCTATCCCAGGGCATCTGACCCCAGCACAGCAGAAGGACTGAGGAGGCCTGGGGGTGGGGTTGGGGGGGAACTGAGGACCTCAGGGAAGGGGTCATGTCATACTCAGAGGCGGAGGAGCAGGAACCAGAAAACCAAAACCCCACGGTGCGTTTTTCCTCCACTGGTGCTCTGTGCCCATGAAGGAGGGTCCCAAGGAGAAATGGGCTCGCGTCGAGTACCTGAGGGGAAGACCGCCTCTGGGTGTGGTGTGGAGAAGTTCTTCCAGGCTTGAGCGAGGGGCCTGCCCCACAGTGACCCCCACGCTGCAGCTGCCGGCCTCTCCCCCAGTGAAGCCACGTGTGTGTCTGTTGGTCCGTCACACTCCCACTCACCCAGCCCACAAGCTGAACCTCAGGGCACAGTGACCCTCAGAAACCCTATCTGGGGTCCTGCCCTCACCCTGGACCCCCGGGGCCGTGGGCTGGGAAGGGTTAAACTCTGGGCACCTGCTCCAGGTGGCCCCTCCTCCCTTACAGTCTCTGAATGGGAGGCGTCTTGAGGCTCATCTGGACCAGGCCCTGCCTGCTCAGGGACCCTGCAGGCAGCTTCTTTGGGGACTATCAGCCTCCTCTTGGAGGTGTCCTCTGCTCTGGGCCTTGCAGTTGTTTGCTGGCCCGCGTCTTGGGGTGCTGAGTGCACAGCAAGAGCTCAGAGGGCACCATCAGCCACCGCAACCAGGAGGCTCAAGCAGGAGAGAGGGCGCTGCCCCAGCTTGGCCCCTCCGGACCTCTGGTCCATGCAACCCCCTGACGATGTCCCCCACTCCTCCCGGGCTCCTCCGTCCTTGGGAAGTGCCCGTCCCCACAGCCTGACTTGTGTAGGAGAAGCCTTGCTCTCTCACCTCATTGGGTGAAAGGCAGAGTGGAGAAAGGTGCCTCAGTCATGGCCCTGTGACACTCAGCAGGCGCTTCTGGTCCCTCCTGGTAGGCGCGTCCCTCTCCAGGGCTTCTCTCTCACCAACCCCCCCTCCGTTGCTCTGGAAGCTGTCACCCTATCTCCGTCCTGCTGCCCTGGTCCCCTCCCAGCGTCCCTGGCTGGAGACCCAGAAGCAAGCCCCAGGCTGGTGGAGAGCCTGTGTGGGACCCCCTCCCCTGCCCTGGTAGTGCAGGCTGTGGCTCCCACACACCGCTCTGTCTGGGCCTTCGGTCCTGGTCTTGCGGCCTGTGTGGCTGTGAGGCTGGGGGCAGTGCAGGGAGATTAGCACCCCCAGGGAGCAGCCTTCCTCCCAGACGGCCCCTTGGATGGCTGAAGGCGGGTGCGCCCCACTCCGGCTCCCCACGCTTCTGCAGCAGGATTACGTTCCAGCCGCCTGCAGCGGTGGCTGTGGTGTGGCCATCGCCCCCTTCCCGCTGCCTCCCTTTCCTGGCCTCATGCCCACACCTACTGCCTGTGCCCCCCTTCCCTGAGTTGGTTCCGGGAACCTTGTCTCTGGGTCTGTTTCCGGGACAGTCAAGGCCTCCCTAACTCTACTTCCTGCTGCCTTGGGGCTGGGACACATTCCTGTCTGGTATCCTTGCCATACTCTTGCTCAAACTGTCTCCGTGGCCCCCGTCCCATCCATGGTGTCCTTGGCCAGCACTGCTCACCCATGGCCCTTCTCTCCCTATGACTCACCCCTTTGAAGAGGCGTCCTTATCGGCTGGGCTCCGCTGACCCGTGCCCCCAGCGGCACCTAGCACCCCAGCCTGATGGGTGTGAGTGGTATCAGGTTTCCCAGCCCCACAGTGGCCCCGAAGACTGCAAAGTGGCCTCCGTTTCTCTGCTGCGCCCTTCCCACCCACCCCCGCACAGTCCAGACCTTCACAAATGCTGGTAGAAAAGATAAATATTATTATTTACAGCAGCCATGCCCTCACAGCTGACACCCTTATCTCCCAAAGCCCTGCTCTAGTGGCCCGGTACCTCTAGACACGGGAGGGTCCAGTGGGGGCTGGCTGGTTGCCCCTAGAGTCACTTGTCCTGCTCCAGGATGCTCAGGCAGAGAGAGGCCAAGTGCCCTGCCCCTTCTATCTTTGCTTAGCTAATCATGATGCCCCAGAGGACATCTGGGGGCCACAAACTCCCTGTGACCAGCAGAGAGGCTGTCCCCAGGGCCAGACCACTGAAGCCAGTGGCAGGGTGGCCCTGAGTAGCCTCGGTCCCCTGATGAGGAGACTGGCTTTGGCTGGGGCACACCCTGGCTCTTGCTCACCAGCCACGCGGTCACCCTCCCCCCCCCCCCGTCTTTCCACAGAGGGGGAGACACCAGGGACAGGAGGTGCAGAAATCAGGGTGCAAATATTATGTGTGGCCAAGGAGGGGGAGCCTGAGTGGCCTGCGGGGCAGTAAAGTTCCAACGGTGCAAGGCAGCAAGGCAGGGCTTTTCTGCTGGAAGTGCCACAGGGCCAGATGAAGTTTCGGTGGCTGGGGAGGATTCTAGTGGCGCGGCCGTTTGCCTGATGATGTCACCTGATCTATAATGACATCGCCAGGGCTTCTGCCTTGGTTCCCATCGGTATTGGAAGGCATTGCCAACACCCAGAGGTGCCATCATGGTGGTTGGGATGCTGTCACAAGAGTTTCCCATGATGCCCCTGGCAGCGAGGACAGGCCCCAGGTCTCCAGTGGGCTGACATCTTGTGCCGTGGGAGAAGACACCTTTTGGAGGGACCCGTGTGCTGCTTTGGATTTCCACCTGGCCACTTCTACTCCATTTTGATGTCGCCTCCAGGGGGGCCTGGGGCAAGGGGGAGCCAGGAGCCGTGGGACCGGCCCAGTCTTTATAGGCTATTTCCTGTCATCCCCTGGCCCAGACTGGGTCTGCTCTCATAGGCTGAACTCCCGCTCAGCTGGGGGTTCAGCGAGGGGGGACCCCCCCCCCAGGATGCCCGTGCCAGATGCTTCTGGGGGTGCAGGGTGTGGAAAGGCACTGATCCCCTCCACAGACAGGGCGGCTGGCTGAGCCTGGAGACCGTCTTCCCCTCCCCGGCCCTCGAGCTCAGACGGCCGTGGACGGCTTGATACTGTGGAAGCTGACACGGGTCGGGGAGGTGGGGATGGACATGGCGCGGGCCACGCGGGCGCGGATCGAGTGCTTGTCCTGCCATCGGTGCCACCTCTTCCGGACGGCAGAGCGGACCTGTGGGCACGAAGCGGAGCATGATGTCCGAGCCCGGGTCTTAGGTCCCACCCCTCCTTTCCGGCTGCCACGAGCAGCTGTACGTGTGATGGGTCCACAGGTGCTCGGGATGCAGGTGTGAAATGCACGGGCCACCCGGGAGGTGGTGACATTCACATCGCCAATGTTGTTTATTTGCAGATTTGTTAGAGGAGGGGTGCCCTTTGCTCATCCGCACGAAGGCGTCATATGGCCTTTGCCGTGAAGAGTTCCTACCTTCAGCATGCATGCACGCCCTGCCCAAGAGCTCAGCCCTTCCTGGTTTCAACAAGCCTTTTCATAGACTCATTGATGAGGCTGAAGCCTTGGCTGTATCAAATGCCTATGGGGGCAAAGGAGTGGGCTTGTCACTCCAGGAGCAGAGTGGGCAGGTGGCGGGGACCCTCCTGCGGCTCCCTGCAGCATCCCCATTAGGGACCCAGGGGCGGGGAAGAAATGGCTGGCACGTGGAGGGCAGGAGGGGGCTGCAGACAATCTCGGGTCCCAACAGGCCCCCCTCCGTCCTGAGCTCTGGGACCCCGGCGTCCTTACCTCACTGTTGAGGAAACAGTAGAATACAGACACGAAGAACCCCTGGGGTGGACAGAGAAGGTGGGTCAAGGGCCTGCGGCAGGTGTGGCCCCACCCAACCTCCAGGCCACCACCCCCTTCCTCTCCAGAGCCTCCTGCCCCTCCAGAGCCCTGCCTGGAAGAATCCCCACCGCAGGAGGTCGGGGGACAGCCAGGGCCAGAGCGAGGGGCGGGCGGTGGTACCTGGAAGGATTCTAGGAAGGAGTTGAAGTAGATGAAGACGACCCGGGAGACCTCGTCCTCCCCGGGGTTCACAAAGAACAGCATGTACGTGATGCCCAGGAGGGGAAGCAGCACCAGAGTGGCCTTCACAGCCTTCCTGAGGTGAGGCGGGGTGGGGAGGCCCAGAGTCACAGCCCATCCCGGGACGGGTGGTGAAGAGGGCTGGGTCTGGGGGCAGGGTGCCGGGTTCCCAGGAATGTCTGAGACGGGGAGCCGGGGTTTTGGGAGGGACTGTCAGACCTGTTGGGGGGAGACCCTGGGTCAGAGGCTGGCTCTCTGAAGCCCCCAGGATTGGGGGAGGGAGGCGGGCCGGGTTACCTGTACTGAATGGTCTCAGATGTGGTGGACGCCCGGAGTTTGGTCATGAGAATGCGGACGATGTTGAAAAGGAAGATAAAATTGATCTGTAATTTGAGCACACGGTGGGATGGTGTGGGCGTGTGTGTGTGTGTGTGCAAAATGTTGGGGGGAGGGCGGGTGGACGGGGCAGGGCCTCGGCTGTCTCAAGTCTGCTCTTGGTGCCCCTGCTTCTCTCCCTCCACCTTCGTTCATGCTTACACATTCCTGGCCCCGTGCCCCCGCCTCTAGGCACGGGGACCCTGTCAGTCCACAGGAGGCACCCTTCTCTCCTGCCCCCCCCCCCCAGGTTCTTACCAGCAGGACCAAGATCATGGGGCCCTGGTAGATGTAGTCAGTGTATACCCCAGGCCTTTTGCCAAACCAGCACCTAGAAAGCCACAGAGAGAAGGTAAGGGGGGAGGCCCTCTGGGTCCGGTTCGGTGGTATGGGGAGGGGCGGTGCTTGGCCAGGGCAGGACTGGGGCCAGAAGTCAGGATCTGGGTGCCTCGATTCCAACCCTGGCAGAAGGTCAAGATTCCACCACGGTGCCTCAGTTATTCCATCTGCAGAATGGACACCACGCTATTATGAGATGTAAAGCTGGATACACGCAATGTGGCAGGGAGGGCAATTGTGGACCAGAGCACAGAGCGGCACAGGCAAGGGCTCAGCACACCACTGGTCCCCTCTGTCTCCACTGTGGCTCTGGCACAAGCCCACTGACTAGTGGTTCTCTGCCCCTGTCACGCAGTGGTTCCCCAATAGCTAATGACCTCCGAATCTGTTTAATTGCAGCCTCAAGGCAGAGATTCCACAGGCTCCACCTGCTGGAGAGGCAGAACCGCTTTTCATCTTCTTGAATGTCCCTCCAGAAATCTCTTGGGGGGTGGGGGATGGGGCACATGGGAAGTCCCATGTCCTTGTGCAGAGACAACGGCCCCCAGGGTATACAGACCCACGGTGCCTGGATCTCATGATGCTTCCATAAACCAGACGCTGAGATTTTTATGTGAAACCTCTTGACCTTTTAAAGGTTTGAAACAAACTCAAGGTTTCGAAAGACACCAGGGAGACCAAATGCAAGCCGTCTGGGGCCAGGTCTAGACCTTAACCCCAGGGTCTACAAATTCTTTCCGGCGTCTCACACCTGGATCCCTTCTGCTGCAGTGTCAGCACCTTACCACCAGATGGCGCTCCAGAGCCACTCAGACCGACTTTCTTAAGCCAGGCGTCCTTTTTCCCCCAAGACGCAGACTCACACACCCTGGGTCTTCCTGTCCTCGCCTGTAATCACTTGCCCACCTGCAGGCACAGGCACCATCGCCCAGGGTTTACGATGCTCCTGCGCCGGACCCCAACATCCGGAGCGTTACTGCCAGGCCCCCCAGCGGTGTCTGCAGCTGGCCGCTCTCCCAGCCCGGGCCCCCACCCTGCCCGCTGTGCCAACGAAGGGAGAGCCCGCCGGGCGGAGTCAGGAAGGATCAGCCTGGTAAATATGAGTATCATTTTCCAGGCTCCTTGTCCAGCCCAGTGAGGTTGTGGGCGGCCCCCTCCCCTCTAGGAGGGCGGAGGGGGGACTTGTCATTGTGATGGAGATCAGCTGGAACCCCACTCAGACAATGGGCCCCTGAGAATGCTTTGGCATGGAAGGTGCTGGCACCTCCCAGGCTGTCTATAACCATATTTTCTGCCTCTCTCTCTCAGTGATTCTCAATCTTAGCCCCTAAAATTCCTGGTGCTCACACTCCAGACCACCACCAGATGTAAGCGTCCCACCCTTGGGAGGTCAAGCCTGGGCGTTCGGACTTTTTAAAGCTTCCTGGATGATTCCAACATGAGCCAAGGCTGAGAATCACTGCAGCAGAAGTCTAATTTTCAGGGGCAACTGGGAACACCCGAGACCAAAGTCATCTCAGGACGTCAGAGCTGGAGGCTGGAAGGACCCTATGAGATCATCAAGATTAATTTCTACAAAACCCATGGAATCTTTTGTAAAACAAGTCTTAATATTTTTAGTGTCAGACATTATTCTAAATGCTTCCATATACAGGAACTCGTGTCATCCCCACAAAAACCCTTTGCGGGAGGCACTGTTGTTAGGATGCCCATTTTACAAATGAGGAAACTGAGGCACGCTGGAATAACTAGCCCAAGGCCATATAACTACTTAATGACGGGTCCATGATTCAGAACCTGGGCAATCTGACTCCAGAGACTTCCAGGGACACTTATGCTGTTCTATATGGCGTGAAATCACAAGACGGATACAGGAGCCTGAATTTACCCATCCAGCCTCACCTAGAGCACAGCACTGCTAGGGATCCTCGGACTGAGTCCAGCCCCCAGCACTCTCCCTGTATGGATGAATAATGACCCTGACTGGGCAGGTGATGTGGCCGAAGGTCCTCGGGGAATGTCAGGCAGAGCTGGGCCAGGAGACTGGACCTCGGGGCTCAGGGGGCCCTGAGGGCAGCGAAGGGCAGGAGGTGACTCACTTCTCATTGTCGTAGTACAGCTTCCCAATGGCCCAGGCCACGATGATGGGGAAAGGCACACCTGGGGAGAGACTGGCTGTCACAGAGCCCATCGGTGGGGTCTGGAGGACACAGGG